GGGGGGGGGGGGGGGGCCGAAAAACTTGAAAGGTGGGCGGGCGGGGGGGGGGGGGTCCCAAGTTATGCACTAACCTGCACCCCTCCACCTGCGAGGTGCGACCTGCACCTGGCACCTGGTCGAAAACGGCTTATTTACAAATAGCAGTGACCAGTGTCAGACGTCAGACATACACTGTGTCCCAGTGGGGGTAGCAGTCCGGGGAGCGCGAGAGCCGAGCGCGATGTAGCGCGCTGTGTGTGCACAGACAGTCATGGCCCGAGGCGTCGCCCGCCACGCTCGTTGTGGCGCGCGGGTGCTCGCACGCCACGCCACCGTGCTGTCCGGGCAGCCTCTATCTGGATGCCGCCAGAGAGAGGCGGCGGCGGCTCCTAGTGCGCGTCATGCAGCGGGACCAACCCCCTTGCGACCCGCGACAGAGGGAGCGGGTCGTGGGCTGGTGGCCCGCGAGCTGAGCGGCGGAATTCCTAGGGGTACTCGTAGCATTTCGAATCCGAATTGTTGTTGGTGTCGACGCGATGGCCGGCAGTCTCTCGTGCGCTTGGCAGGCATCCCTGTCTACGCCCTTAGCCGGAGACCTTTTTTTTGTCGGACAGCGAATACAGCGTCTCGAGTGGAAAAAGAATTCGTTTAGGCTTGGCTGCAAAGGGGAACTTTTTGTTGTGCCGACTTCGTGTGTGCTCCGCTTCTGAGAGAGAGATTTTTTGAGAGAGAGAGAGAGAGAGAGAGAGAGAGATTTTGAGAAAGAAAGAAAGAGAGAGAGAGAGAGAGAGAGAGATAGTGAGTGAGAGAGAGAGAGAGAGAGAGAGAGAGAGAGAGAGAGATTTTGAGTGAGAGAGAGAGATTTTGAGTGAGAGAGAGAGAGACGGAGAGAGAGAATACATTTTTATGCCTCCAGCTGTGCTTATCTCGAGCGCCTCGCCGCCCCGCCGCAGCTTGAGAAGAGCCCCGCCGCGCGGTTCGAGTGCAGCACCACCCTCGCCTACAGCGCTGAGTACCGCCAACATGAGGAGTACGGTACTGTGCAGTGTATTCGCAGCACCGTCCGCGTGAGTACGAGGGGCTACGAGGGGCGACGAATACAGCATACGGCCGAACACAGCGAAAGACGGTCGAGTACAGCGGAGCACCGTCGAACACGCCTCCTCTCGAGCGCGAGTTGGAGTACACACGAATGCGCATTCCGCTTTTAGGCCTCAAGATGTGCGGAGATGCGGGGAGATATGGGGATATATTCCGCTTCTAGAAGCGCCCTCGCCGCCGCGCCTCCGCCCCCGTCGGCCGCCAGGGAGAGCGCGAGCGCGTAGCACGCGGCGGCGTCGGGGTACTCGCCCGCCTAATCTCGGCTAATCTCGGCTAATCTCGGCCAATCTCGGCTAATCTCAGCGGCGTTGTCGGGGTACTCGCCCGCCTAATCTCGGCTAATCTCGGCAAATCTCGGCAAATCTCGGCTAATCTCGGCTACTCTCGCGGCGGCGTCGGGGTAACGCGCCCGCCTTGAAGTGAGGGAAGGGAAGGGAAGGGAAGGTATGCGTGTGTGTGCGTGTGCGTGTGCGTGTGTGCGTGTGCGTGTGCGTGTGCGTGTGCGCGCCTTGAAGTGCGCGTTGGACCCCGCAATTCCCTTCCC